AATCTGTTCCAGGCCACCAGCCCTTCCCAGCCACTGATCTTTACACATTGGATAAACAGCTCAGCTCCGGGAATTTTTCAATGCAATGGCCATTTCTATATAAAAGCCATCGGCTTTATTCAGCGCCGTGCATGAATGCACTTGGTGAATGGACTAAAGTTGCAGGCCATTGAACTGAATAGCCTATGGCCCCGCGGTAATTCGATTCACACAGAGGCAGTTAATGCTGAGCTGCTTATCCGGTGTATAAAGATCAGTGTCAATCCCAGCGCCTTATTCGGGCGCCCAGCAGAGTTGCTTATTTGAGTCATCTGATTTGAACTCAGTCGGACTCGAGTTTTGTGACTCGACTTGTAAATACATGTACCAACTTTGAATTGTGACTTGACTTGGACTTGCAGAAAATGACTTGTTACAACCCAAGTCAGACGCTACTCTACCGGCCCCAGATAATTTTATATGCCTAACTCGTAACTTCGTTAGTTGACGCCTGGTTCTTTTTGCTTATTACAGCTGGACAAAATAATGTGCAGCTGGACTTGTACAAAAAGAGACTTGTGACTTGACTTGTGTTTAGACCAAATGACTCTTGACTTGACGTGCTCTGTGACCAAGTCACTTGACTTGTGACTGGACCTAATGAGTTGTGACTTGACTTGGACTTACAACATATGACTTCCTGGCGCCCAGCGAAGGCGCTGTTATGGAACACCAAACTGGGTCAAAAGAGGGCGCAATATTCCTAGCACGCTCCTTCAGTGGAAACTGCGCACTTAATACGGTAGCGTTGCTATTCTAGCAAAATGAATCCCCCCCCCACTAACCTGGTTCTTTTCAACCGATGAGGGGTTAACGTTGCTTCTGCTCCATGCGGATACTGAGACAATTGGGTGATTGCGCACATTATATGGACGTATAGGTACTAACATTTTCATTAAATATGACTAGGCTTGTATGTACGTGTAGTTTTAATTCAGGGGATATATATGAAAGTCGGGGCTATTCAGTGTGGATTCCTACTTCTCGCTATGCTCCGATAGCAAATAGACCTTCTTGTAAACACAATACATTGTACTTTTGTCTTCCTCTTTCATTCCCGAAGCATTTAGTCACTACAACCTTAAGGGCACACGATTAATTCGGGGATTAAAATAATCGGTATTGAGTTTTGGTCAATATGCAAACACGTCCAACCAAAAAGGGAAAAAATCTAAAGAAAACTGTCAACTAATAAGAAACCATGAAAAGAGCTTTGGACAAAAAAATATGGTTTATGCACTCTGTTACCATCTCTCAATTTTACTATAATAGGTTGGAAATGATATTATTTTTACAATCAAAATATATTTCGTCTTTTATATTTATTGCCAAAAAGTGAAAAAGCCGTACACGTCGTGAAAAGGCTGTTTTCACGGCTCGAATTCACACAGTACTCATTATATATGCAAATTACTTTCCAAATCAATGTATGCGCAGTTCAAAAATTTCCCACTGAAACATAAGTGTGTTTTTTTTAGGGGTGCGTTTCAGTTAGGGATGTAACCAGGACCCGGGTTACACTAAACTGAAACGCACAGTTGCAGGGAAAGTCCCTTTGACCACAATGATAAGTACCTGAACTTAAAAAATAACAGAACAATGCTCACGAGTTTCTTGGGTGTTTGAGACGCACATCAAATGAAAGCAAATACTTGTGAACATCGTGTGGACAAGCAAGTTTAAATTAACGGCCTTAGTAGTTATGTTTACTGGGAAGGATGCTTCGCCTCAACGTGTTTTTTTTTTTTATTTTAGCAGCTTCTTTTCCAAAAAAGAAGTATTTCTGTAGCTACGAAAAAGCGATGGAATATCGATATGTGGAAGAAAAGTTTTTAAAACCAACATCAACTGATTACTCTTGTTTCTGTTATGAAGTATTATGTAGTAACTTCTTTCTGCTTATGTCTCTCCTTCATATTGTAGCCACGAGAAAAATGCAAGGAGCATTTGCACAGAGTATACATCGATCAGTAGGCCTACGCATGTATCCTCCCAAAGCAATGCGTGACAAAGCAAGCACGCGTATATGAATTCAAGGAAAGGCTAGATAACAGACAAAACTGATAAGAAAATGTAATGTTCATGCAAATGTGTGCCTATTGAGATTTTGCAACAATTCATCTTGAATTATCATGGCATGTTGTAGGGTAACTTCACCGTCCAGCCACAGTACGCTACATGAACGTGCCACGGCGGCACATCATAAACATTGTTCCTCCTCTTTACAACCTTTTTAAACGGCGATTTCTCAAAAAGTGTAATATCAAAACTTTTGCAATGTAAATAAGCTGAAACCCTAATATATCAGCTTTAGTGAGGTATGTTTCCTTCCAATATTTCAATGTATGAAAGGGCACTTTCCCAGTGTTCAAAGCCCGTTGTGGACATAACCCGCACACTGTCGTAGAAGTTGGTACCTTAATACTTCTACACAAACACCCCCTTGCACAAGGGGTTTGTGCAGAAACCCAGTCAGACTACAGACTACCCTGTCAGTGTCTACTCTTAACCACGTTCAAATAACTCGGCAGCCACAGGGGAGCTCAGACTCAGCGACTGCTGAAAGCGCAGGGTATGCTGAACACACTTTAGAGTACATGTGCTT